TTCAATTATATCTTAATCAGTTTTATTATAAAAACAGGGCCATAACAGTACATTGATAAGTCTCACCTTTCAGTCTTCTGCTATCTTCCAGTAACAGTGAAGGATCGCCTTGTACTGCAGCATCTCTAGGATAATCCTTCAGAAAAAGAAGAACAGAAAAGCATATATCAAAGCTTCTGGATCAGTGGCCACAATGTTAGAAGTGAATGGAACTGCAGACTACAGAAATGTAAGCATCGCAATACTCTTAAAGCAAGATCTTGGAACAAGACATGTTATGATTTCTACCACAGAATAATCTGGATTTTGTAGTCAAGAATTCACATTACATTTTAGGAACAAAACCCCTAGAAACACAATTAAAATTAAAAGCATATATTCCAAGTGCTGAGTAAGCGCATGCTCCTCATTTATGGCCAAAGAAGTAGTAGTGAAATTACATATGTGTAAATTTATACAAGCTGCTAATCTCAAACAATTCAGGAACACTCATACACAAAGAATTAAGCACCCAACACTGGCTGTGGAACTGAAGGGGCGGAGCTGAATTTTCTTGAAGTGGAGTCCATGGATAATCAAAGTCTACAAAAGCAGCTATAAAGGAAAGTTAGGAAGGCAAAAATCTGTTACTTATTTGGTGGTGTACTCCACCATACTTTTGAGACTTGTTCAGCTCACTAGCTCTACTTTGAGCCATGCAAAAACACTACTGCAGTCCTTTCACAGCATGGGTTAACTTTATCTTCATGTATGCTTATTGACATACGGATGCCCTATGGACAAGTTTCCACTCTATGTAAGAAAGAACAAACAAATCAAAAGGAAATAAGCTTTTTAAGTATTAAAGAGTTCCAATAAACTAATGACCATTTCATTATCTATGATATGAAGAAGAAAACAAATCTGCAGTTTTAGGTTTTTAACAAATATTGTGCCATGTGCAATCGATTACACTAAAATTTAAAAGAAGCCTTGGTATTAATTATGCAACAGGTAGCTATACACAAAGCCCTTCTCAACACTTCGGCATTAATATCACACTAGCAGCAACTGAAAGAAAAAGCAGCTGCACAGTTCCGGTGCAGAAGTTAAGCCAAAGATTTGAGATGCTTTTACAGAAGTTGCAACTTTTTGAGAAAAACATTCTCTTAGTTCAGGCCTGCAAGAAGCAACATTGACCATTTCTCACCATTTGTGATAAAAACATGGGCTCCGTAGAATTTCCCACTGAAAGCAGACGTTCTGGATACCCTTTAGTACTTGAGACTCCTAAAATAAAAGCAGTTTCTACTGTGATCATAATGTTTTGTTACTCATTTTCAATACACCTTGACTAACCCAAACCTAAACATTTCCTCTGCCTGTATCAAGGTAAGTAGCATGGATTGTGTCAGTCATGAATTTGAAGAGTACATGGTAATTACTACTGCCTCATACTATAAAGAACAGACTTAAAATTATTTACTTAATACTACTAAAATAGTTTGCTAAAACAGTTGCAGAAAAGGATGCAATTTGTTTTTTTTCCTATTTGCTTACTCATCTGTGTGAGCTTCACTGGTACAGGCAGTTGAACTGTGTATGTTGTTTGTGTCAAGCTGGCGGGGTATAGGAGGAGTAGAGCTGGCTTGTTTGTTTTCCAAAATTACAAAGAAAAATGGCTTTAACAAGAAAACGGTAGGTAACAGGGAAACTTCTGAATAGTTGTTTAACTGACCAGCTCTGAAACTTGTATTGTTTCATAAAATCTGCAAAAACTGCAGACTGAAAAAGACGAGCTGAATAACTTTCCCAGAATGCCTACTTCCAACATTTAATATTTATTACCTTTCAAGTGTTCAATAAACACTTCTTTAAAAAGGCAAGCTTGTACAGATCAATCTTGAACATCTACTGGCTCAAACTCTCCAGAAAAAGTCATCTTTAAAGAAGGAGAGACAGAGGAAAAGCATCTAAAAGACACTTGATTTCTTCCAGTATAAAACCACAAAATAATTCACACAATTCCATAAAAACATTAAGAAGGCCCAAATATTGGGACTGTTTGTTAGCAGGAGCAATATTCTGTTTGGCACAAATCTGCTTGCTGACTACACTTTGGGCATAAAATTGAAGAGATACAAATGGTCCTAAAACAGTGAGCTACAAACTGCATTAAAAACTGTGACATACAAGAAAGGCATCAATCTTCTTAACTTTCTTTAACTCAACTTTGATCCTTGAACACATACAGTTTCATCCTCTGATGCTGCCTAAAACCTTCCTGCCCAGTATATTTGTGAAATTAACAGACATAAGGAAGAAGCTCTGCACTGTTTGGGTGGTAGCACGTTGAAACAGGTTGCTCAGAGAAGCTGTGGCTGCACCATCGCTGGCAATGTTCAAGGCCAGGGTGGATGGTGCTTTGAGCAACCTGGTCTAGTGGAAGGTGTCCCTGCCCATGGCATTCGATAATGGAACTAGATAATCTCTAACGTCCCTTCCAGCACAAACCACTCTATGATGATTCTACAATAAAGGTGAGAGTTACCTAATAATTAAAGACGAGGAATCTGGAGCCAGGACTGGAGTTCTGTTAGCAGAGCGATGACTGACCACCTCACCCTGCACAACTCGCTTTTCACGTGCAAAACACAGCTTGGCAAAACAAACAGATAAACACGACTTTTCAAAGCGTACTAGTGTTTTCAGAAGAAAAACATTCCTTAGTTACGAAGCTACTGCCTGACTGAAAACACTACACAGCTAATTTAGCTGGGCCCGAAGCTGCGAACTCGCCGTAAATCACGCACCTGCTGGGGGTCCTGGGGTTACTACCCCGCGCGGTGCCCTGCACGCTGACACTGAGGTGGGAGCGCAGGGCGGTCCGCGGTCAGACAAAGCAGCACCGGTGTCCTGGCACGGAGCAACCACTTCACACCGCTTCCTGACAGCGACAGTCACTTTCCTCACGCGGCCACCAGCTGCTGTCGCAGCCTCAGCGGCCTTCTCCCTCTGGACACCTGTGGAGTGAATGAGCACGTCGTCCGCCGTGAGGCTGCCCAAGGAGTCCGGGCTGAGGCTGGAGCTGCTTCCCGTGTCCATGAGGATCTCGTCACGCAGCTCCGGAGGGAAGTCCAAAGCAGGATCGTGACAAAGAGGCCATGCCTGCGGGCCGGGCGCCAAGGCAGCAGCCGCCCCACTGCCTGCTCCCGCGCAAGGAAAACGGCCTGAAGGCTGCGGGAAAGTGTTTCCCGCCGCGCCCCGGACACGAATGCACCGCCCGGCGCCCTGGCGGACCCAGAGTCCCGCCTGCCGCCCGTGCCGGAAGCAACCGCTGCCATGGCAACGGCGCCCCGCCGCAGCCCCTCACGCGTGCGCGGAGTCCTCTCCCCAGTAGTGTCCGGAAGGGAACCCACTCCCGAGAGCTGCTCTCTTCCAGTAGCGCAGCGCGGGGGACATATAAGAGCATTGCGCTTCCGGCGGGAGCGTAAGCTTGCCGGTAAGTGTGTGCTCGCTGATTCCCCTTCCTGCGCGGGGGCTCCATGTGCTCTGGTGAGTGCGGGCGCAGCAGCTACTGACGGTCCGCTGCGAGCGGGAGGGCCCTGGCGGGGCCCTCAAGCGGTGAGGTATAGCAGTGAGGTATGGCAGGCTGGGCTGGGCTGGGGTCGACGGGGATGAGGGATGGAAGAGCTCCTGTGGGAGAAGGAAACCGCCTTCCGTTTCTGGAGCTGTCCCAGTGCCGGTGTCTGTCCCTCCGCTCGTACCGGCGCTGTTGGTCGGGGCTTGGCGTAGTTGGGGTCTCCCTGGGCAGAGAAGCTCAAGGTGCCCTTGAAAGTAAGAGCTGAAAGATGTAGTTAAAAAAACGGAAACAAGTATACAAAATCACGGTGAAGTTGTTTTCTTTCCTGCCACTTCAAGTTAGGGGTTGATGTTACTGTGTCAAAAGTATCAGTCAGGCTTAATCTAACTTAAATAGGCAATCACTTAGGGAAAAACGTGTTTTCTCCCAGGACAGTCACCCTTGGGTGTGTTCAGCCTGTTCAGAGGGGTTCTCAGGTGTCTGATTTCAGACTATGGTAACTTCAGCCTTGGGAAGTCTTCTGCTATTGATTTCTGTTGTCTTCAGAGCAGGGTCTAGCCCACAGCCATGAGATTGTGAATGATAATAATCTGTGCACCAGATCAGTCTGTTACCCAGTCATAGAATCGTAGAATCATAGAATAGTTAGGGTTGGAAAGAACCTTAAGATAATCTAGTTCCAACCCCCCTGCCATGGGCAGGGACACCTTACGCTAAATCATATCACCCAAGGCCTCGTCCAGCCTGGTCTTGAACACTGCCAGGGACAGAGCATTCACAACCTCCCTGGGCAACCTATTCCAGTGCCTCACCACCCTAACAGGAAAGAATTTCCTTCTTATATCCAATCTAAACTTCGCCTGTTTAAGTTTTAACCCATTACCCCTTGTCCTATCCCTACAGTCTCTCATGAAGAGTCCCTCCAGCATCCCTATAGGCCCCCTTCTGACCAGTCCCTTTCTCATCTCACCATGTGTCTCCAAGCGCTGAAAGTAGCATGTGAAAAGAGGAGGAAACCTTTTTGCCCTGAATTTTATGTGATTAGTTTTGCAGCCTGCTTATTTCATAGGTATTTTTTTCTCATAGTTTCATGGAAGAGCTCCAGGGCCTTAAGGAAGGGAGACTTCCTGGCTGTTGGTACTTTCCCAGTGAACCAGCACATCCAGATCATGTGGCCCTTGTTACAGAAGTTTATTTAGAGATAACTGCTTTCTTCAGTGTGACATATTTAAAAGTGCAGTGCTAAATTCTCAAACCATGTTTAGCTCAGAGGAAAGTAATCCAGACTCTGTAGGCCTGAAGCATGCTGGAGTTGTTTGAGCAGCTCTGCAAGTTCTGTGGTGCATTAGCTGAGGTGCAGAGCCCTGTAATGGATTCTTTTGTCGCCTACTTTTTCTTGTTCCACAGACTGGAGAGAAAGGGGACAAACAGGAAAACTTGAAATGATATATTTAGTAGACTTTAAGAATAAACCAGATATTCTGGGAATGTTTTGGTAGCGCATTTTTACATGTTTAAGGCAACTATCTATAATTTATGGCTACTGAAGAGGTGCAGTAGAGCCATACAATTTCACTGCCAGCTGTGCGGAAAGTTTAAAATACCTGCAGAGGTACAAGAGTTTCAGACACTTAAAATCAGAGTGTCATTGTGCTGATTTAAATCAGAGCTATCTCCGAAGTGTAACTGTAAAAACTTTGTGGAACTGCAGTTCAGTAAATCTAATTTTTAAGCTTGGCAAACTAGTTGGAGAAGAATAAAAGATGAGGTTTGTTGCAAACAAGCATAACGAAGCAATACCGAGCGTGAGAAAACAGCACTGACAGTTGAAGCCTTTAACTGTGCTTGGGAGAGGACAAAAGTCTTTCCTGTTCTCTGTGTTTTCTAACTCTCTGTTTAATAATCTACTTAATCTGACTCTATAGACTTGTCACTGATTTTCCTTCTAATAGGCTGAGAAATCTCAAGTGGGGTCACCATCCATTTTCACAGGTTGTCCCAAATCAAAGTCATGTCCAATTCTCCTAAAACAAATTGATTATTACATTAACCTGAGTAGCCCCTTCTGAGCAACCACAGGCTCTCCTTAAGATTAACCTTTGAAACTTATCTGCCCATGATGAATTCTTGGTTGTGGGGGTATGCATCTTAAATTCAGTATCATGTGCTCTTTGCCTCCAGTCCCTGAACTAGCTTACTGTGCAGTGGCAAAGCATAATGCTAAAAGGCTGATGTTATAATCCCTTTGCTGCTGGAAGGGAGTGTTGGGAGAGTGCACACTTGTGACAGCTCCACAGTGCTATTTTTAGTTGCTTAGTTTTCTTTCCATTGTACAAATTATTATTGTCTCTTTGTTCTTGTTTAGAAGGCTTGCTTACCCTATCCCTTACCCCTGCCAAGAAACTGGAATAGTTTAAGATTTCTAAAACATTAATGTCTTGCTCAAAATTTGGCAAAACGTAATACAGGATTAACTGTAAATAGCCCTCGCTAAAGGGCTGAATCAACTTTCTTCACAAAGAGATTGCACTTCAGTGCTAATTTTCCTTCCACAAGTTGACATGAATTAAACTGAAGGATCTTGTTCTTGTTAACATGTAATATTACTTTGCATTATCATCTGGGATAGGTCTTGGATAATGTGTAAATTAAGGGAAAAGGAAGACTACCTTTCAGTATCCTACTAGGAAACCAGCAGGGATGCTTTCAAGCCTCATTTACTGTGTTGGATTAGGAATGTGAGTCTTCCATGAGGATAATAGCTTAAATTCTTGGATCCATGGTTGTTCATTCTTCCCTTTTTTTCTGTGTATTTCACTTCCTTTAAGGCCATTCTCATTCTTCTGTGGGTTTTTACATTTAATTCACTATGTTCAATGAGCAGAACATTTGGTCTAGTTTAAGTGTTTGGTGAGAATGTAGCTACATAGAAACCAGGCATCTGCATCTCTGCAAGGTGTCCTATGCTGCATTTATTCGGAGTGGCTACAATTCCAATACTTGCCTTTCTTCCTTACTGTTTTTACAGATGGCATGGAAAATCACTGAAACTGTAAGGCTAGAAAATATTATTGCTTGCTTCTCCTTCCCACTCCCACCCTAGTTCTACTGTGTGAGTTTGAAAGCATTTATAGCATTTAAAGTGATTAAAAAAAAATTCTATAACTGTTTGAAAGGCTTAAAAAGTGTCAAAAGTACAGTAGTTAACAGGTGTATCTGTGAAGGTTTCATGCCCGGACATTTTTAACTGAGTGCATTTAAAATAGATAACTTTCTTTCAACTGGATGGCTTGAAAGTTCTCTAGCAAAGCTGCATTTAAACACAATTCAAGGACATAAAATTGATTCTGTTGTATAATGCTGCAGTTCATATATATGATTTTTGCGTGAAACTTGACTTTTATCTTCAGAACAGGTGACTGAATTGCAAGCAGCAGAATATGGCTGGACAAATCTCGGAAGCTGATCAGATCAAGCAGGTAAGATGCTGTATTCATGAGTGGTGCCTTTGAAGATCTTCTGTAACTTTGTCACATAGAATAAAAGGTGTAGGGCATCGAGAAGGACAAAAATTTTTTTTGTAGCAACCAAAATTTAAACATTTGGGCCATTGATAAACACAGTATAGTATCTGATTTGAAATACTAGCAGTATTTGGTGCTGACATATTCTGACTAATAGTAAATTTTTCTACTGACTCATTCTTGAAATGTTACTGTCACAAAATGGCCCATGCAGCTGTGCATAAAAAAAGTTAATGTAGAAATTTTTCTTAATACTCATTGTCCAATTTTTATTTATAGTTCAAGGAGTTTCTTGGAACATACAATAAAATTACAGAAAACTGCTTCCTGGATTGCATAAAAGATTTCACTAGCAGAGAAGTTAAACCAGAAGAGGTAGGTATATGCTTTTAGTGACCCTTTGGTAGAATTGCTGTATAGCATTCGAGTTTCAGAAGCAATTTAGGAAGTTTTGATCTTTCAACTAGTTAAAAAGGTAGGTAGCAGTCTTTAGTGGAGTACAGGTGTCTGGAATGTAGCAAGCAACTTAGTGGAAGAAACAGCTTGTCTGTAGTTTTTGCTTCTCCAGATATGTCCAAGGTGATGCCAGATACTTCTTTGCACCCTAATAGTCTGTTTGCAGAGAAATCAACCAAGCAACCGAAGTAAAGTGCTTTTCACGTATTAAGATCATCAGCTACAAATTATGGGGTAGGACCTCTTGAGGTTTTGTCGTTGTCTTTTCAGTATGTACACAAAGGGAGTCTTCCTGATCTCACTTGAATATTGGCTGCTTATTGCAATTCTGTGTATTTCATTCTCTGAGCTGTCAGTGGAGGTTCTTGTGCCTCAACTTCTGATGGATGGTATCTTTATGGACATGGAAGTTGCCTACCTGCAGCCTGCATCCCATTCTTTGAAGGTAGAATCCTACTGAAATACTTGTTTACCTGTCTATGTTCCCTGCTTTGTAGTGAGCCACAGAAATGCAGGTCTCCAGAGCTCTGGCTGTGAAATCCAATTCTGCATTGCAGGAAGCTCCATCACATCACAGACATCTGCAAAAAAGATTAAGCTCTCAATTACATTAGTTGCATGGGTTTTGCCTCACCTCTCCTCACCTGTTGAGAGGCTGTTTCAGAAGCTCATAATTTTGTTGGTTAAAAGTCTAATAAACTTTGCATGACTCTGCTGGCAGAAATAAACAACCCGAAGTTTTAAACTAACCATTGTTTTTGAGCATTTTCTGCCTCCTTGGACTTTAACTCCTCAGCATAGGTAAAAATTATGTCTCCTTTCAGCTTTTGTTCTGCTGCTCTAAGCAAAGCTCTCTTACCTTCCTTCCCAAGATGGATTCCTTGTTTCCCTGATCTTCTCTGCATCTGCTTTAAAAGAATTTTTATTACCTGTAGGAGGTCAGAATTATTTTAGATAGGGTTTGTACTATCTTTTAACAAGTCATTTTGAATTGCTTGAACAATACAAGGAGTGTCAGCTAACAGAACTGGCAGAGGTGTTGGCAGCACAACTCTTTACCTTTCTGGATGGTATTTGATTTCTGTTAGGGGACTGCACTTTCTCTGCTACCCAAGTGTTACTAGAATTTCTTTAAAAGTAGTAGTTCATATAGTCTTTCATTGAAGACCTGAAATCCAAAACAAATGAACACTCATTGGAGGGGAATTAAAGCTTTAGACCCCCAAAATACTTTTAGATTCCTTTTTTTTTTTTTCTCCTTTCTTTCTGTGGTCTGCAAAGGGCCATCAGTAGCACAGGAGCCATTGAAGGCTAGGAAGAATCTCTCTGATGGGTAGTAAGTTTTGCCCGTGATTATCCATTAGGGGGTTTCTTGCAGAGCATCTGGCTCTGGCCCCTGCTGGAAACACAGTGGTCTAGATGCACCACTGGACTGATCTTGCATGGAAATTCCTATGTTTCTCTTCCAAGTTGTAGTTTCTTATTATATAATTAATCTTAATACCTCCATGAATCTCCTTTGAGAGTCTCCATTTGAAACAACAGCTTCTGACCTTTTTCCCTACAGCAAGACTGCACTGCAAGTCTAGACTTCCCCAGGCACCATATCACAAATACCACACTCTCTGGGAGCAGTGGCTTGGGGTAGTTCCAGAATTTGATTCCTAGTGGAACTTGGCTCCTGCTCAACAGGTTTTGCCATAGCTGATGCCAGGTCAAGGAGAGAGAAGGACAGGTGGTATGCAAAGCTGCAATGTTTTTTCTTGTTCATTTTTAGCCCCTCTGCTTTTCACATCCCTCCATGCTAAGCAGAATCAAAGCAGTTTCAGATTTTCTAGTAATCAGGCAAATTTGGTGTCTTTCTATCTAAATTTGCTAACTTTTACAGTGACAGTAAACGCTTAGAACCACAATGCACAATATCCAATTGGTAAAACGGTTGCTCAGAAACCATCTCATAAATCTTTCTTTACACTTAACCCCCTACCCCAAACCTCTAAATTTAAAATATGCTACCATGGGTGGAATAGGCCGAGGTATTTATTTCCCTGTCCAGCTGACTGAGAACTTGAGGGTACTCTGGTTGCTTTTGTGCAGGTTAACCAAGGAGGTGCAAGAAGACTGATAGAAAAGGTTAAACTGAGCTAGCATACAGTAGACAACATCTGACTGTCAAAGATGTGTGCTTGTAAGCAAAACTTTAAAGAGACACTAATTTAATAGATTTATTATTTATTGCAAAATAAAATGCTTTACATACTTTCTCAAGAGGAGTCCAAGGAAGAAATGGTAGTATCTCCTAGATCTTCATGCTTTCCATGAAGACTGTCACATGAGAATTTATATTAAAGGATATTTATATTAAAAGATATTCCAGACATCCTTTAAAAACTAAACTTCCCATTTTCCACTGTGCACAACTAGGCCCTCACCTTGAAGCTTAACACGGAATATGAGATGTAGTCATCACATTGTTTATCCCTGTATATGATCATATCTTGGGTGCTGTTAGAGGAAGTGTTTTAATTACTGTTTGAAGCCTTCTGTTTCCCTCTTCCTCTAGATGACTTGCTCAGACCACTGCCTACAGAAGTACTTAAAAATGACACAAAGGATCTCCATGAGATTCCAGGAGTACCACATCCAGCAGAATGAAGCTCTGGCAGCTAAAGCAGGACTGCTTAGCGCACCTCGTTAGATAAGAGTGCTCTGTTCAGACTTTACAAGCAGTGTCAGTGTTTGTTGGGCAAGAACACATTTTGGATTTTCTACTGTCAGGATGTGTGTCCAGCAACTCACAGTTCTAGGTGCTGTTCAGACAGTAGAAACTATGGAAGGTTAAACAAGAAATTAGTCATGGTGGACTGGCAATGGAGTCTGTTTCTGAGGTTCTTTTCGCTCTACAATGGAATACTACTGATAGAAACTGCTCCAGGGCCTGCAGACTGGTATGTTTAACTTTCAAGGGTGGTGGGAGGGTTATGCTTCCTTTCTGCTAGGACTGATTCAGATAAATAAATGGAATATGGGAAATACACTTTTTTTTTATTTAATTAAAATGAATGGGAACTATACATTTGTATGTATGTTCTTTCCAGAGATATGCTTTCAGGACACTGCTTAAGCAGTGTTTTGTTGGCTGTGGTCTCATTCCTCAGCTACTACAGAGTTCTGTTTGTTCATTGCTGGTTTAAGTTGCTCTTAGGTAACAGAATCAGTTACTTTGTTTTAGCAGCTGGGGATTTGTGAATGTGTAATTTCTCTTAATTCGGGAAGAATTTCTGTTGAGCCATCCTCACAGAGCTTTGTGATCGTTCTGACTCTCCTAGAATGGTGATGATGAGAGTATCAAGGCAAGGGTGGTTATAAACAGATGGCTGCTGTAACCAAGGGGTTCAGGTAGGCAGAGATGCTCTGCCACCTTATCCTGAGGTTATGTTTGCCTCATGCTTCACCATGTCATTTACAAGGGATGTGAGTGCATCATTAGCAGTGCTTGTGCCCAAGGCAGCTCCTTGTTTCCCCTGGGGTCCTTCAAATTCAGCTCTCTTGTCTGAGGCAAGCATGATGCACTCCAAGCAACTAAGCTTGGAGTGCAATTCCAATTTCTCCTTTAATTGTGAGAGTGCCAAGAGGAAGTATAAGGTATGCACAAAGCAATGTTTCTTTTGCTGTTGGGTGAGTACAGAGAGAAGTCTGTGGAAACCACCTGTTCTGATGTGATTTTGGTTGAAAGGATTCTGACAGCTGAAATCCTGCAGTCACGCTGTCAGTACAGTAGATGATAGCTAACAGGCACATTTTACTTACAACTAATCAAATGCAGCAACAAAAGGAACTGAACATCAGGATTACCACACTGCCCATATGCTTTTTTGTCATTACCTTCCCTGTAGTTTTTTATTTCCAGCAGCACTTTGAAATAATGATTTTCTGCCTGTTTTCAGTTGTTTATTTTTTTAGATTGGAGGGTTTTTGTCTTTACTACTACAGCTCTCAGCTCTCCAGGCTGTGGATTACTAGGCCTGACAACAGCACAGTACACCTGCTGCTTGCACTGGATGCTGTTCTGTTTGCTGCTGTTTAAAGCTGCCACAGCTCTCCACAGAAATCTGTTCATGTGTCTTTTTTCAAAGGTGGAAGAAACAAGTATGTTCCTGCAGTCTCATTTACATATGTTTTCTACTAGCCATATTGCAGCTTTTTCCTATGTAGCCCATGCCTTGATACCTCGGAGATGGCTAAGAGCTTACTCTAAAATAGTAAAGGCTAAAAAAGAGCCCAAATAAGGCAGCAAGTCTCTGATGTTGTGGTCTCAAAAGAATAACAGGCTAATAATGTCTAGATTGCTTGCTAACATCGTTATGGCCACCACTGTTATGGTCGATTACAAATAATATATCCATAGTAAAGATTTAAGGCTTTCTTTAAAGCAGTCTTTTTGCTAAACATTGGAAAATAATATATGATTGGAATTATTTTCTGTTGTACTTCAGAGTGCAAAGAGAACAGTTGCTCAGAAAACCCCTCTCTTCAACGACCTGAAAAATGGAGCCAGGAGGTAGCTGATCTCTTTTCCCAAGTAACAAGTGACAGGATGAGGTAACAGCCTCAAACTGTGCCAGTGGAGGTTTAGATTGGCTATTAGGAAAAATTTCTTTATGGAGAGGGTGCTCAGGCATTGGAATAGGCTGTCTAAGGCAGTGGTTGAATCACCATCCCTGGAAGTGTTCAAAAACCGTGTAGATGAGGCCCTCAGTGACATGGTTTAGGGGTGGAGCTGGCAGTCCTGGGGTAATGTTTGGACCTGATAATCTTAAATGTCTTTTCCAACCTAGTTGATTCTATTCTATTAAAAGTATCACTGGAAGCATAACCATTGAGTTGACAGCTGCTACCTTGATAAGAAGCTGGCCAGACAAAAATTCTTGACTTCCACAGAAGCAATTTTCTTATAGCGACTGTAGTTTGCTTACAGATGTGTCTGTAATTAGAGTGGAAAACAAGTTGCAATATTGCTGCACAGAGATACATGCTTTTTAGGATAACCAATTTTGTCCTAGTCTAATTCACTCCCAAAATACTGTTATCTTTCCCTACCTTTCAGTCCACATTACTGTTTGAAGAAAGATACTCTTAGCTTGGAAACAGAGCACATCCACGTAACTAAAGCAGAAAGCAGCAGTGAAAACTTTCTTAATGGTTTCTTAAAGGTTAAATTGCTTTGCTGAAGTTTGACTTCCCTTTGCTTCCTTGATGAGTCAGCACATCCTGATGGCAGGCTCAGATCACGTTATTTAGAAAACTGCACCACATAAGATTTTAAGAGAATTTGTGAGTTGAGAATAGTTCATGACACAGTGTTTCAGTGCCTCTCAAGTGCTTTGTCAGTGTGTATTCTCACAGCGTTGCAGCTGGTCATTGCTCCTTGGAGCAAGATCTCCCAGCACCCAATTCTCACAAATATTTAACTGCAAATGCAAGAATTAGTATTTCTACAGCACCTGGATGGACATCTGTGAAGGCTGGGACAGTCATGTGAAGGCTGGGACAGTCATATGAAGGCTGGAAGTGTCTACAAAGGCAGGCCAGGCTATGTTTTCTGCCCTGGAAGAGTATTCTGACCTCCATGACATAGCTTAATCTGGAGTGTTCTCCATCCCTGTCTTTGAACAGCTTCAAGTTTCCAAGGCATAATGAAATACACAGCCAAAATCAGAATAAAAATGAGGATACAGCTTAGTCTCTGGATACGGTATTTATGAGGAGCGAGGAGAGTAGGTGAATCACCTTGATGGGACATGTTAGATTAGGGGCAGGAATGGAACCAATTCTGATTGAAAGAGCAGCAAAGGATGAAAACTGGAGTGCTGCTGAGGAAGGAATTCTGAGAAAGCTGTGAAAAAAAATAAGACGGAGTGGAGGTGGGAGGGCAGAGAAGGCAATAGGAGCACAGCCTCCAAAACCTAGCTTGATGGAAGGTGAGCTAGTGAGCAAATGTTCATGTGGAGGTGATGTTCATTGCAGCAGAGACAGAAACACAGACCCTTCCTTCTGAAATGTCTGAATGAGAAGGCTAGGAAAATATGCAATTGCTAATCAGCCCACACAAAATAAAACTATTTCAACGACAAGGGTCAAATGAGAGGCTTGCTCCAGAATGCCCTGTACATCAGTGGTACTGGTAGAATAATAGAATCAAACATCTGGAAAATTGTAATAGAGGTTCCTTGAATTCTCTCAAGGACCAGAAGCAAAGTCCTAATTTCTGTAACCTGCTGTTGAGCTTCAACTACTGAGCTCTCTGTTGGAAGACAAGGAATGTATTTGACTACAATCTTCTGTAAGTGAGGTGTGGGTTACACACCTAATGCCTGGAGATAAATTATGGTTATGATGTCAGTGCAACCCAGCTTTCCTCTGCTCTCCTAAATACCTAACTCTTGAAAACCAGAGTCTAAGCAACAGCTGTTTTTCTTAGCCAGGCTAGGAAATCAGCACACAGCATTTGTGGGATCCTGTTCTAATCTTGGGAAGTCCATTAAGCTCAGCTCCAAAATTTCTTCTATGACTCTGGCCCAAACTCTAAAACCCGCAAAAACACTGAGAGCTTGCGACACCTAAATATGCATCCTGCTTGCACCTTGAGTTTTAAGATGACAACATTAAATGAACTCAAAGTTACAACTCTTCTAAATACTAGATTACTATGTTGTTTGGGTTTTGTTTTGTTATTTTTAATTATGTTTTACCTTAACTTGGTGCTTCAGCGTTTTGGTGCTCTTCCTGTAAACACAACAGGGATTGTTCAACAGTCAAGCTTTAGCAATTCAGGACTGTAGAATGATGACGTCTCTTCTCCCAGGACTTCTCAGGTACACAAACAGATGCAACTGAAAGACTCTAAATCACTTAAAAAAAAACATAAAGAAAGGTTACACTTACAGACTACTTGAATGGACCAGGGCTCGTCCTGTGCAGCAAGACATGCTCTAATCACCTCATCGGTAGGAAGGGGGTTGTTGGCCGCCCCTGCTGCGTGTCTGTACTGTGGGGGCTGCTTAGATCTTGGGGCCAAAGTGCCTCTCGGCCACGGGAGACACGGGTCTCCTGGGGACGGCGGTCCTGCACCTTCTCCCCCGGGGCCTACCGCCCGCCCAGCCCTTCGCGGAGAGCCCGCCCGCCGGCCACCCCTTCTCCTCAGACGGGAGCGCGCTGGCTCGGGCTGGGCGCAGCGCGATGGCGGAGGGTTCTCCCCCTCCCCCGTCAGGGCCGTGTAGCCGCTGCCTCCTTTGAACTGCCGCGCCTTGAAACGCGGCCTGAGCAGGGCCCACGGCGGCGGCGGCGAGCCCTCTGGTAACACCCCTCAGGCTTAAGCAGAGCGTCCTGCAGCCAGTGTGTGCGGAGGAAAGAAACAAAACAAACCCCACAGGGTCCTTACAGGGTTCTATTGCCTTCGGGGTATGCAGGAAGATGTCTCAGAGGGAAGCGAAAGGTTGCGGCTGGCGGCAGGTGAGAAAGGTGACCGGGTCGCGGCCATGGCCGGTGGGGGGCCGCTTACCTGTGGGAAGGCGGCAGAGCTGGAGCCACCGGCGTGACAGGGCCTTAAACAGAAATCGAGAGAGGGAAACATGTCAAAACCGACAGTGCCAAGAGACCCAGGGCAGCGCAGGCAATCGAGGACTGGACTGCAAAAAGCGAGACACCATTGAGAAGCTGCTGGGATGGCACAGGATCACCACACAGGGTGGGAAGCAGAGAGTAAGCAGGAGAAATTAAGGGGTTGGGGGTTTTCCTTCTTTTCCTTTTTAAATTACTTTAAACCATACCCATTCCTAAGAGAAGTAGTTTTCAGGAAATAAATGAGCATTAAGAGACAGAGCTTGAAGCTGCACATACATGTAAACAAGTGGCTTGTTTACAATCCAGTCCACCCTTGTGCAAGAAAACGAAGTCTTTCATACAAATTCCACATCTTACCTCTGCTTACGAAACACATAGCTGGCAGGATCATGGCAAATTAGGTCAGACTGTACCCAGATGAAGGATTAGTGGAGGAGTAGTTTAGAAATAG